CCCGAACCCACGGGTACCCACCCGACCCAACCCGGTCAACGCGGGTAAAATCCGTGTTGACGGGTTTTGGGCCGGGTTTGGGTTTAAACCCGTTTACTATTCATCGGGTTGGGTTGGGTTTGGGTTTAGGTAAACCCGGCCCGTGGGTACCCGCCCACTCATATAATTAATTTTTTCGGTATATTTAATATTCTAAACAACTAATCTTATTTATGTTTGTGGAGACATGTCTAATTTTTTCTTTTTAATTGTGTAGAATGAAGTTGATGTTATGGAGTGGAGAGTAAAGAAACTTAATTGAAAGGAAGAAGCTTTCAATTAAACATGTTATTTATGAATAATTTGTGATTTGCTTCAATTTTCTTGAGTTTTCTAGATTGGTGTTGAACAATTTGTATAGTTTATTTGTGATTTGCTTGAATTTTCTAGAATGGTGTTTTATATATGGATAATTTGTATTGAGAGATTGATATTTGACTTTAATTTTGATAAGAACTTGTAATTGTAAATTTTTTACGACAAAACCCGTGGGTACCCATGAACCCGCGGATACCCAACGGGTTGGGTTGGGTTTGAGTTTTTCAAACCCAGTGGTAAATGAGTTGGCCATTGACTAACGGTCAACTCGGAGTTGACCGTCAAATTTGACGGTCAAACCCGACTCCGGGCCAAATTAGGAAGTGTGATACATAGTTCAGATCATGATAGCAATTTTGAAAACCACGGGCCAAAATTGAAAGTTTGTGTATAGTTCGGGCCAAACTAAGGTATTAACTTTTTTTTATATAAATGATTTTAGAGCTCTGCCCAACTATTTTTTCTGGACTTTTATAATACTAACTCGAACCGCTGAGTTGCTCAGCGTGAGTGCCACAACTATTCTAAGACACGTCAATTGCCAACGAAAGAATCTGTCAAAAGTAGATGTTTGATTAGATTGTTGGCAACAACACCCATATCAAATTTTCATATTGAATTGCAAAATGACGTGGTAACGAAAATGCAATTACATTTTTAATTACGAATCTTTTAATTGCATTTGTACAATCTACCACAAAATACAAATCCATTTGCAATTTCACTCGTTTATTTGTTTTTTTAATATTTACATTTGATGGCGGCAATTCACTAATTTCTGCGTTTTTCTATGTAATATGATAAACGACACCGACGATATAGTATTCCCATGATACACTGCAAACGTCAAATTCATAAAAAATTGAACTGAAAATAAAAATATAATAAGAACGGCTAGCTCGAAACAAAACAAAAACATACATAAAATAACACCATAAATATTCAAATAATAATTATCAAAATTAGGAAATGAAATCATTCGTCTTTGAGCAGCTCATGAAATTGTCTATCATAGAGCCTTCTTTGTGCTTTTGTCTTCGTTGATAAATCGATTTCTATTAATTTTATTGTTAACTTTTGTTCTCGATATGCTTCTTTTTCCCTCAATCTTCTTTCTTGTTTAATCTCATGTTCCTCTTGTAATTTGGTCTTCGCAGCCGTGAACTCCCTCTTCGCCTCTAATTTTCCTACTTTAATGTTGATTTTTTGTTGCACCGCAACTTCCATTCTTTCAACTATGTCAGATGACATAAGTGTTTTCTTCCCTTTGTTCTTTAAAGATTTCTTTTCTTGGAGACGTGGATGAGACACAGTCTCAGACTCTCCAATTGGAGGCATGCTTGTATTTGATGATGATGATGCAGTGTATTATCCTGAAATAGTATTCTTACTCCTCTTTGATCCACTATGTTAATCACTACCAGATGGATTAGATGATTTGATTTGACTTTCCATTTCTCTTCATTCTTTTCCAACAATGCATAAAATTAACACCTTGTTCTGTTTACCTCCCTCGTTTATGCCACTTTCCCTACGATGTTGGACTTGTTCATAGCAACCAACGAACTTTGCTACATCTTTGTTGATTCTGGTCCAATGACTCATCATTGCCTGCTTACCCCTCTGGCATTGAAATGTCTTATTGTGAAAGTTTTCTTAATACTCATGAATGCGCTCCCAAAAAACCCGATAACATTGATATGTACCAATTATTGGCTCTTTGTAGATATTCAACCATGCACTGCACAACAAAAAGTCATCTTCTAGATTCCAACGAATTTGTTCATTATTCCTTCTCTAGTTAGCTTATGTGGACATTTCTTAACTACAATGCCCAGGAAATGGAGAATCGTGTTCACTAGGATTAGTGGGAGTGACTGGAGATTGGTTTAGTAGAGACTCGAAAACGTTATTAGGCACACTATATGGTGGATAATGTCGTTGGAAATATTGAAAGTTTGGATTTAGAAACATAGGTATTGAGAAATTACCCGTATTTGAAAAGAATAGAGAGTTCATATGAGAATTTGTGAATGGACTATCAAGAGATTGTGTATCTTGTGTCTCGTTTTAGACGCATATGGAGATAAAGCATGGTAGAAATTAAAATATGGATTGAAGGTTATGCTAATGTTGGTGGTGGGACAAGTTCTATCGGAGAAGGAGGAGCATGAGATGCTAGTTTATGCGTTTATTTATGTTGTGTTATTTGGAGACTTCTAAGATCCATTTCTATTATTAAGTTTAAGTTTGAACTTGTGCGAATTTAGATTTTAGACATTGTCATTAATCATTATGCGCTTTGGTTGATTGACAATTATACTCATTATCGTCCTTTTCAATTTCAATATTTGATGATGCTTAATGAATTTCAGAATTTGAACTTGCTATAAATCAATTATGGTTTGACAAATGATAATTATAATGTTATAAATTATAAAAATTCTAAATATTGTAAATAAGAGTTAAGAATTACATTATTGATTACATAAAATACAAAAAAAACATGAAATTTTTAAAAAAGTTGCCCAGCCTCTCATCTGCCCACAGTCGATCCGATTATTTCCCGGTTAACTGAATCGGAATGTCGTTTCCCCGCCTTGGCTCGGTGTTTCGGTATAACCAGTTATTCGGTAACCGGTTAACCGGTTACAAACCGGCATCGGTATTCGACCGTGGTTTTGTCGCAAACGGTATATCGTAACCGGATATATCTATAGCATGAGCAACACAACGGTCTCATGTAATTGGGCCAAACATTGGTTGCACCCATTGGATATTGCTAATCGGGCCTTGAACCCATTTCATATAGTGGGCCGATCAAGCGTTGATTGGAGGAGTGATCCAAAAAAAGGATGCACCCCGTACGTGGAATGTTTACAATGGATCACATCATCATATGTTGTTTGGTCGGGCGCATGGTCGTGGAGTTGACCTGACTTAGCTTCCTGCTGCAGCCTGCAAGTCATGCGTTCATGCTTGCGTTGCAGAATTACAAATTGGTGTAATTTAAGAAGTAAAAAAATACTGAGCTGAAAGTGGCTGCTCTTTGTCAGGCGACTAGACTGAATAATATGAATTCCAACGACTCGCGACCAAAAACGAATTCCACACATCTTCCTCCTGTGGTGGCCGGCCGGGCCAATTAATAAGCAACAATGATTCTCCTGCCTGCTGCTGTCCGTTAAGCAACGGTCCAACCACCCTTTCCCTTTCCCTTTTTAAATGGCGACTAATTCAACTTCAAAACCAGAGGAGCTCCCCCGAAGTACGCGTCTTCACGTTCATTTAATACCCCCCTCCCAAAAAAGCTTTGAACGCCACTCATCCCCTTTTCCCCTCCCCTCCCTCGTAAAGCAAATCCCATTCATTCCTAATTATACCTTGCTCTGAATTTCCAAATCAATTCGCGGCCTGAAAAGCCCAAATCAATTCGCGGCCCCCTGAATCAATTCGATCGAGGAGGAGAGAAACAGAGAGAGAAAAAAAAAAAAAAATGGACGCGAACGAGCTGAGGAGAGTGTTCCAGATGTTCGACAGGAACGGGGACGGCAAGATCACGAGGAAGGAGCTGAGCGACTCGCTGCAGAACCTGGGGATCTACATCCCGGAGGGGGACCTGACGCAGATGATCGAGAAGATCGACGTCAACGGCGACGGCTTCGTCGACATGGACGAGTTCGGGGAGCTCTACCAGACCATCATGGACGAGCGGGACGAGGAGGAGGACATGCGGGAGGCATTCAACGTCTTCGACCAGAACGGCGACGGCTTCATCACCGTCGACGAGCTCCGCTCCGTCCTCGCCTCCCTCGGCCTCAAGCAGGGCCGGACCCTCGAGGACTGCCGCAAGATGATCAGGAAGGTCGACGTCGACGGCGACGGGATGGTCAATTTCAAGGAGTTCAAGCAGATGATGAAAGGGGGTGGATTTGCGGCTTTGAGTTCCACTTAGATTCATAATTAATTGCTTCCTCTTCCTCTTCCTCTTCTCTTCTTTTCAATTGATCATCCAATCCAATTCCATTTTGCTTCCTTCTCTGTCTTGTCTCGGGAGGGAGGAAAGGAGAGATTTGGTTAATTGATTGATTCATTTTTCACACCATTTTCCTCTTCTTCTTTTGGGTCGCTAATTTGTGTAACATTTGTTGATTTGATTTCACACTTTACACTTAGAGAGGGTCTGTTGTTGACTTGTTGTGCCGTGTTGTTAATGAAGAAGCCTTGCTGGGTATTGGGAGATCCATTTCCCACATTTGTTCGGAGATAGATTGAAATCATGTTTTCCAAAGAAATGAAGTCATAAACTTCTTCTGGTTATTGATCGTTGTTTATGTGACATCCTTAATTTCAAATGCATTATTCTCATTCGTAGATTATTAGTCCCTAATTTGGATACCTCGTGTTTTTTGTGAACACATAAAATATTAGTATGTCAATTTTCAAAGTTTACAACCTGTGTTGTTAGGAGATGCAATCATTAGATTTACAAAACGAAAAGGGGATTTTTGAATTTGATGTGCATGATACTGAAGATAAACAAGCATGTTGTGACTTTTCACGTGTTTTTATTGTTTATGCCTAGAAAGTTCCAAGCGGTTTGTGAAGAACGATCAAGGCTTCTGTTCCAGGTGGTGGGTGTACTCCAAACAGCCTACAAAACAAGGGTCCGTGGGCGGTGTCACGACCTTACTCTCGATCGTGCGGCCCTAGCTCTCAAATCCGTTAGAGCGCTAGGCAGCCTTTCTCTCAACTCACTTGAAAGCAAAGAACAAGAACAAGACAGAGGAAGTGGGAGAACTCTCTAGTGTGTATTACTCTAAAAAATGATGGAATGAGTTACAAGTGAGGGAGATGGCTCCTTATATAGGCCTCTCCTCATACAAGGCATCAATGCCCCTCATAATGTCCCTCTACTACATCAATACACCCATTAAGTCCCCCCCATTATGCACTCTATAAATACTACCATAATGTAGCTAATAAGTGCACCATTAAGCTCTCTATTAAGGTGGAGAATCCTAGGAGCATCTCTATGCTACTAGTCTTCCATGCATGACACATGTGCAGCCTTGTTGTCACCTTGTTGGCGCCATGTCATCGGCCACATGTGACATCCTCCCCCACCTATGCTCGCGACGCCCTCGTCGCGTCCTCTTGATGGAATGCCTCGATCAAGTCCTTGTTCTTCCAAAGCGTAAGCTCTTTCTCCCAAGTTGCTTCACTTTCCGGAAGGTTGCGCCACTTGACCAAGTACTCCACAAAGCTTGGATGTACGCCACGACGAGGAATGACACGACGCGCCATGACTTCTTCAACTTCATGGTCGTGTGTCTTGGTGATGAGTGTTGGAGCGCGTTGCGACTCTCTTCGTTGCTCATCATCCTTGTCTTTGTGGAAAGGCTTGAGTTGGCTCACATGAAAGACCGGATGGATCTCCAAGTGCGTCGGCAACTCAACCTTGTACGCCACCGCGCCAATCCTCTTCACGATAGGGAATGGCCCTTCATAGCGGCGAAGCAGTCCCTTGTGCACGTTCTTGAGATGCTTGAATCGATGAGGGTAGAACTTGATCATCACCATGTCTCCCTCTTCGAATTCCAAGTGCCGCCTCTTCTTATCCGCCCATTTCTTCATCTTCTTACTAGCGCGGGCTAAGTAAGACTTGGCCATCTCCATCTTCTCGTGCCAGCCTTTAGCGAACTTGTAGGCTGCCGGACTGTTGCCTCTATACCCCGTTGCCACCGTCGTAGGTGTCAAAGGTTGCTGCCCCGTCGCCAACTCAAATGGACTCGTGTTGGTCGACTCGCTGCGGTGCAAGTTGTAGGAGAATTGTGCCGTATCCATCAACTTCACCCAGTCTCGTTGGTTTGCACTTACGTAGTGTCGCAAGTACACTTCCAACAAAGCATTCACCCGCTCCGTCTGTCCGTCGCTTTGAGGATGAAATGCCGTCGAGAAGTTCAAGTCTGAGCCCATGATCTTGAACAACTCTCGCCAAAATCTGCCCGTGAAGCGCCCATCTCTGTCGCTCACGATGTTGCTAGGAACGCCCCAATACTTGACCACGTTCTTGAAGAATAGTCGCGCCGCATCCTCTGCCGTCATGTCTTTTGGGCCGGGAACGAACACTCCATACTTCGAGAACCTGTCCACCACAACCATGATGCAACCGCATCCATCGACTTTGGGAAGTCCGACGATGAAGTCCATGCTTACACTCTCCCATGGTCGTTGAGGTGTGGGCAAGGGCTCTAACAAGCCTGCCGGGCTTCTCTGCTCCATCTTGTCTTGTTGGCACACAAGACAAGTCTTCACATACATCTCCACGTCGTCTCTCATACGCGGCCAGAAGTATGCTTCTTCGATGAGCGCTTGCGTTCTCTCGATGCCGAGATGGCCCGTCCACTTGGAATCATGGCACTCCTTCATGATCTCCTTCCTCAAGTTGGCCCACCTTGGCACGAACACTCGCTCTCCCTTGGTCATGATGAGCCCATCCTTCATCCAAAACCGTCGAGTCTTGCCTTGCTCGATGTACTCCGCTACGGTTTTGGCGAAGGGGTCATGGCCAAGGCCTTCAATGATCCGCTCCTTCAAAGGAAACATGGGCTGGCTGATGCTTGCGGCGGCACTCTTGCGGCTAAGAGCATCGGCAACGGAATTCGCCTTGCCTGGGTTGTATTCCATGACGAAGTCGAACTCGGCCAAAAAGTCTTGCCACCTCGCTTGCTTGGGGGTGAGCTTCTTCTGCGTCAGAAAGTAGCTCGTTGCCACGTTGTCCGTCTTCACTACGAACTTTGACCCCAACAAGTAGTGCCTCCATGTGCGCAAGCAATGCACCACGGCCGTCATCTCCTTCTCTTGAACGGTGTATCGCCTCTCCGTCTCGCTAAGCTTCCGACTCTCGAAGGCAATGGGATGCCCATCTTGCATCAACACTCCTCCAATTGCAAAGTCAGATGCATCGGTCTGCACTTCGTAGGCCAACGTTGGGTTGGGGAGCACGAGCACGGGCTCCTTTACCACCGCTTGCTTCAAGGCCTCGAATGCTTCTTGGCACCTTTCCGACCAATCCCACGCCTTGTTCTTCTTCAAGAGATCCGTCAAGGGTGCTGCAATGTTGGAGTAGCCCTTGATAAACCTCCGATAGTAGTTGGCAAGGCCGAGGAATGACCGCAACTCTGGCACCTTCGTCGGCGGCTCCCATTCTTGGATTGCCTGCACCTTCGCTCCATCCATCTTCAACTTGCCTCCACCAATGATGTGCCCCAAGAATGGAACCTCCGTGGCGGCAAATGTGCACTTCTCCCTCTTGACATACAACTCGTTGTCGCGAAGGACTTGGAAGACTTGGCGTAGATGCTCGGCATGCTCGTCGAGTGTTTTGCTATACACGACGATGTCATCCAAGTAGACCACGACAAACCGGTCCAAGAATGGCTCGAACACTTGATTCATCAAAGTGCAAAACGTGGCTGGTGCGTTGGTGAGACCGAATGGCATCACAAGAAACTCGTAAGAGCCATACCTCGTCACACAAGCGGTCTTTGGCTCGTCGCCCTTTGCTATCCGCACTTGATAGTAGCCCGAGCGAAGATCTAGCTTGGTGAACCACATTGCATCTCCAAGCTGGTCGAACAGATCGCCAATGTTGGGAATCGGCCACTTGTTCTTCACCGTCAACTTGTTGATGGCTCGATAGTCGATGCACATCCGCAACGACCCTTCCTTCTTCTTTTGGAACAGCACCGGTGCTCCAAAAGGTGACTTCGATGGCCGCATGTAGCCTGCGTCCACCAAGTCCTTGAGCTGCCTCCGCAACTCCTCTAGCTCCGGTGGCGACATGCGATATGGTGCTCGCGAAGGGGGCTTCGCTCCTGGCTCCAACTCGATCTTGTGGTCCACCTCTCTTCTTGGTGGCAGCTTCTTGGGCAACTCCGATGGCATCACGTCATCGAACTCTTCGAGGACGCCTTCGATGAGGGGAGTTGTGATTCCCGTTGAGCCTCCTTCTTCCTCCATTTTCAAGGACACAAGAAAGGTTGGTTCATTCTTCTTGAACCCCTTCAACACTTGCATGGCCGATAAAGCACTATGGGGGCCATCTTCTCTCAAGAGATGGATCGTGTGAAACTCCCCCTCCTTCTCCAAGCACATCGTGTTGGAGTTGGGCTTCAAGAGCACTCCCTCCTTGTCGAGGAAGTTGATGCCGAGGATGACTGGGTGATCATCCATGGTGACGACGGAAAAGTCGATGAGGCCTTCCCACTCGCCGAGCTTCACTGGCACATTGTGAGCAACTCCATGGATTGGGATGGACTCCGAATTGATCGTCTTGAGCCTCCCTTGCCCCTTCTCGTAAGCAATACCCAGCCGGTTTGCCTCCTCGATGCGAAGGAAGTTGTCCGTGGCACCGGTATCCACCAAGGCTTTTGACTCGCCTTGCATGAATTGCGCCAGAACATAGCACCTCCCACGCTTGCTCTCCTTGACGTCGGTCTTTGCCGCGCCAAGCTTGCGGATTGAGCCAATCTTGGCCTCCGCCGCCTTGGGCTCCTCTTCTTGAGCTTCCATGGCCGCCAATCTCGCCTTCCTTGGGCAATCCCGCACTCGATGTGGTCCGTCGCAAAGGAAGCAAGACATGGGTTTTGGCTCGTACTTACCCCCTTTGCTCGAACCACCTTGGTGTTGTTGAGCGCGAGTGCCCTCCTTGAAAGGTTTCTGCTGTTCTCCACCCTTGTTGGGTTTCGAACTCTTCTCTTTGTTGCCGCTCTCTTGCCTTTTGTACTCGACAAAAGACTCCGCCGTGGCCATGGCAGTTGCAAGGTCTTGCACTCCTCGACGTTGCATCTCCATCTTGGCCCATGGTTGCAGCCCATCAAGAAAGCCGTGCATGGCCTCCTTGTCCGTGATGTCCGGGATCTCTAGAAGCAGCTCCGAGAATTCTTTCACGTATTCTCGAACTCCACCCCTCTGGGTGAGTCTTCTCAACTTCGAACGGGCTTCAAACTCCACGTTCTCCGGATAGAACTGCCTCTTGATTTCTCTCTTGAAATCTTCCCACGTTACCATCACACAAGTACCTCTTTCGACGTCCGCTTCACGTCGCCTCCACCACACCATTGCAACATCGACCAAGTATAGTGGAGCGGTACGAAGTTTTACCTCATCCTCTTGGATGCCGGATGCCTTGAAGTATTGCTCAAGACTCCAAAGGAAGTTCTCTAACTCCCTCGCGTTCCTTGAACCTCCGAAGTTCTTTGGTCTTGGAACATCAGCACGTGGGACGGATTGCACCGGGGCTGGTCCGCTAGCCATGGCTCTCTTCACGAGAGTGACCTCACTCTTGAGGTCTGCAATCTCCTCCTTCACGCCGACCAGCTCAGCCTGGACTTGCTCTTTCACAACTTCAAGGGCGTTGTTCATGGAGGCGGTGATGGTGTTGTTGATGAGGGCCACCAGCTCTTCCCGCATCCCATCGTGGTTGATCTCCAAGCTTGTCAACCGACCCGCCATTCCTTGAACATCGCCTTGGACTTGGGCGAAGTTACCTCCCAAATCCTCGATGGCGGTGATGTCTTCCGCCAACTTCACTTCCACTCGAGAGACTCGCCTCTCCAGTGCCGCCATAGGATCACGAGTGCTCGACTTGTCACCCTTTGGCTTGGGATGCTTGGTTGGATCCCTTCCGCGCCTCTCTTCGGCGGTAACGCCGCTGTCTGATCCCGACATTTTTGGTGAGGTTCTTCCTTTCCTTCTGGCTCTAGGTTCAACTTTGCTTGCACAAAGCCGAACCAGGCTCTGATACCACTTGTCACGACCTTACTCTCGATCGTGCGGCCCTAGCTCTCAAATCCGTTAGAGCGCTAGGCAGCCTTTCTCTCAACTCACTTGAAAGCAAAGAACAAGAACAAGACAGAGGAAGTGGGAGAACTCTCTAGTGTGTATTACTCTAAAAAATGATGGAATGAGTTACAAGTGAGGGAGATGGCTCCTTATATAGGCCTCTCCTCATACAAGGCATCAATGCCCCTCATAATGTCCCTCTACTACATCAATACACCCATTAAGTCCCCCCCCATTATGCACTCTATAAATACTACCATAATGTAGCTAATAAGTGCACCATTAAGCTCTCTATTAAGGTGGAGAATCCTAGGAGCATCTCTATGCTACTAGTCTTCCATGCATGACACATGTGCAGCCTTGTTGTCACCTTGTTGGCGCCATGTCATCGGCCACATGTGACAGCGGTCGGCGGTCGCCCAGGACACCCTCCAATGCTTAAGTTAGAGAGAGAATAAGAAGTGTGGTTTGTGTTTAGATAGAGTGAGAGTAGTTGAGTTACCATTAATGCCGATACTAGTGTATTTATAGCCAGCCATCTCGAGTATGGGGCATTAAATGCCATGTCAGGCGGCCTATATGCACCTTGCTTTATCTAGACCGCCTGCGGCGGGCATTTAATGCTCGGTCCTGCTGTATCCGAGGTAAGTATCCTAGGAAGATCTCTTCCTTCTAACACCAACGGTCTCCTGTGTCGGGTGGCCTATTCCCTGTCGTGTCATAGGGTGGTCGTCTGCCTTTCTCCTTTCCCCATGCTCCTCCTCGGGTTCCTCGTTGAGACTCGGACCTCTCCTTGGGCCCTGCTCGGCCATCTTCTCATGGGCCTCAAGCCTAGTACTGCTCAACTATGGGCCCAACAATTGCCCTTTAGTCGGGAAAAGCTGCGGGTTTTGGCTGCTACATTTTGCCTAACGATAGTTGAGCGGTCCTATGTTTAACCAATACCTGCCCTTTGCCCCTGGCCGCCAAGAGACGGGGGTTTTCCACCATGCGTCTTACTGCCCTTGCTGCGGGACTTCCTTGATGCGGTCGGCTCCCTTCGATTGAGGACTTGAGTGCTTGCACTGTCCCCCCCCCTGTACACCGTGGCGAAAACTAGGCGGTCGCCTGTCGCAATTACTTTTCGTTCGGTCAGTTTGCGTGCATGTACTGGTGAATACTAGGCGGTTTAGCTTTCATAACCTATCTCTTATGCCCGGGGCGGTGAACACTTTCGAGCGCTTGCGCCGTCCCCCTTTCTGTTGCATTTATGCGGTCCATCCTATGTCGGTTCGGCTTCCGTGGACCGTCACGCCGTTTGCATGTTGCGCCACGTGTCTGTTCTCCGAATCCGTGCTCTGACAACGGCTAACTCTCACGTCCAATCGCCGGCCCGCATTTTTGAAATCCCTAGAGTAGGGTTTGCCCTCGGTCACTCAACCGTCGCTTCGCCTGCCCCTTTCTGTCCTATTTAAATCCGCTCCTCCTCTTCTTCTTCCTTCTTTCTACATCCTGCTTGCTGCTTCCTTCTTTTCTCCAGCCAAAATTGCTCGTTTTTCTCGATTCTCCCTTTCTTCTTATTTGAGAGACAATTCCTCTCTATCGCCAGCGCGAGCAGATTTCCTCGCCAAACTCCGACGTTCCCAGAAAGGAGCAAAAAGAAGACGAAAATACCAAATGGCGATGGAGTCTGAGAGTACTACCCAATCCGATAGCCAGAATCGGAATCTGTCAGCGGCGGCGCCGCCATCACTGCCTCCGAGGATGCTCGAACTTCCAGCAGCGCCCCCCGCTCGTCAGGTGGACCGCCTTCTGGAAGCAAATAGCCTGCAACAGGTAATTGGCTCCTCCCTACCTTTTACGCGGTTTTAGGCTAGGTCTGCAGTTAGTTTCGTTTTACGCGGCCTTCGTAGCGAATACTTAGGCGGTCATTCTGTGGCCTTTTAGGAGTAGAACCTGCCCTCGAGCCTGTAGCGGGGACGTATACTCCGAAGCTGAAAGCGAACCGCCTATCGCCGTGCCTCTTGTCTCTCTTTCATCAGATAGTGAGTCTGGAGGATGACCGGTAGCGGAAGAGAGGGAGCTATCGCCCTCTTTAACGATCTCTGATTCGCTTCCGGTGGCGGCGTTCCAGGCTGTTAACGACAATGCCTACTGCGTGAGGTTGCATGCGGACATGTGGGAGGGGGAGGCGGTTCCTCAGAGTGCGTTCGAACAGGGACCGCCCAATGAGGCAGTATACAAGCCTCATCAGGTGCTGCGTCAGTTGAAAGCGCACGGTCTCCCCGTGGACTGGGATTACGCGGCTCCTTCTTCGATTGGGCGGTCGGGGTCATGTCCCGGAGGTTGGATTCCTATCCATGTGGAGCACATTCGGATGGGGTTGACTTTTCCGCTTGACCCCATCCTTACACGGACACTCCTTTTCCTGAACTGCACATTGGGCCGCTTGTCGCCCGGCATCATCTTTCACTTCATCGCCTTTAGAGCCGCATGCGCAAAGATCAACGAGACACCCTCTTTTGATGCGTTTCGCCTACTGTACAAAATGAGGGGCTCGGAAAACTGCTGGTCCTGCTACCGCCGAGAGACGCAGGTGGGGTTCGTGAGAGGAGCGCCAAAACTGGACTCCCCTTGGTTTAAAGAGTACTTTTTTGCCCGTCCCAAAGGCAATTGGTACTCCGGGGACGTTGAACCGCCGACAGGGTTCGCGGCTGGAGACAAGAAAGACTGGAACACTGACGTTGACGGTCTCAAGTCCTGCAAATTGCTCTTAGAGCGAATCATGAACGCCTTTCAGATTAACCTCCCTCCAAAAGGCGATGATAACCCCCTGGAGATTATTCGGCGTTTTCACGGTTGGTTGCTTTTCCTTTGTATTGACTGTATCCCTCGTGCTCTCTACTTATGTATCCTTTTCGCAGGCGCTCGTCGTTATGCTTCCTCTGCCCGACCGCCGAAGCCTGGAGTTACTGCCCCTGCTTCACCTCGTCCTGCCAATGCTGCTCGTTTGGCGGCTCCTGCTGCGAAACCGGCTTCGCCCTCCCAGAAACAACTAGTGGCCAGCCGCACAGGGGTTTTGAAGCTGTCGGAACCCGCTCCTGCAAGGAATTCATCCAAGCGGTCCTTGGACATAACTTCTTCGATGGACCTTGCTTCGACTGCTGGGGAGCCCCGGTTGAAGGGCCTTCTTCTGGAGAAACCCACTACTCCCCTTGATGCCTACCTCCCGCCGAAGAGGCAGAAGAGGACCTCCGTTGACACCTCTGTGTCCTTCTCATCCCAGGCATACCTGTATCCCGTGGCCGCCAAGCGTGCCATGCATGTGATAGAAGAGGGATTGGCGATTCCCGACGACTATACCCAAGTTGCGGGGACTCCGGTTTTGGCGTCCGATACAAAACATCTGGCGGCCGCCACTTCTCGGTTCTTCTTCGCGGTACGCATTTTCTTTGACTTTTCGACTCTTTCGACTTTTCGAATTCAATTGTCGTAATCCTATCATTTTACTAACTCTTTTCTTTCACAGACCCACTTTGGTTTAAACCAGATGATGTTGCACGACGACCGCCTTCAGAATGATCTTCTTGATGCCGACACCAAGATCCTCAAGTTGGAGGATTATATCAAGGAGGGTCGTGAAGGAGTGAAGGCCGAGGTGCGGGATGAGGTTTTGAAGGAGCAGACCCAGCTTATGAAGGACAAGGATGCCCAGATCGAGTCGGGCAAAGAGTCGTTAAGGAAAGCTGAAGCGGAGGTTGAGCAGTTGCGAGCTGACCTTAATGACTCCCTAGCTCGGGAGAGCGCCTTGCAGACTGAGCTGTCCAAGGTCTGGACTGAGAAGTCCAAGATGCAGGATGCTCGGGAGGCTGACATGCTGCAGGCTGCCAAGGAGGCCAGGGAGTCCTTCTGGTCCTCCGAAGAGTATCAAGTTGCTGATGACAAGAAGTACAAGAAGCTGTTTCGCGACACCGTGGCCGCCATTCGTCATTGGTTTCGCCGCGAGTATCCCGAGGTTGTATGGGACACTAACTCGATCTGGGATGCGGTCGAGTTATGGGGCGATGACGACATTAACTCTAAGCATGTCGCTACTCCCGAGGCGCCCACCAACACTGCTGCGAGCGTTGCGACCGAGACTGAGGAAGCCGCTGGGGATGGCCATCACGTTGAAGCAGAGGAAGGCGGTCAGCCTGCTGAAGGGGAAGAGCAGCTGGACTAATTTCCAACCGCCTTATTGTTTTTCGATGTCTTATTGCAAACAATCTGCCTTGTGCAGTGGATATTTTTGGGCGTCCTTTGTGGACTTCCCTGTGGATATTTTGGGGCGTCTTTTGCTGACTTCCTTATTGAATGCTAATCTTTCGTACTTTTGCTTATCTTTCTTACGCGGCCGTGACCTATGGTGGTTGCGTATTACTTTGCGTTTTTGCTTCGTTGCTATCTGATGTTTCTTCGTAAGCGGCCATAACCTAGAGGCGGTTTACGGATCTTGTGTTTTGCTCTGGAGCACTATACTCGGAGGCAGTTACACATTATGGTTAACGCTTAGTAGCGGTTTACAGACTTTGTAGTCTTATGCTCTGAGGCACTGTGCCCACTGCCTATTATGGATTGTTAGAACAATTTTCCTGTTTTGACATTTAGGCAAGTACTGGAAGGGAACGCTCGGTGGCGTTTTCTCATTTAACTTTGCAACTAGGTGCACCCCGCCTGTCGGGGGTGGCTTTACATAGAGATCCGTTAAAAGTGGACGATCACTCTTGCGCGTCTATCCCAAAAGACTCGGCGGTCAATTCTTGAATTACTCAAAAGTACTTTTTCAGGTGGATGGCATTCCATGTCTTTGCCAATGGTTTTCCCTCCATCGTGGCAAGTATGTATGTTGCTGGGCCTAACTTTTCACCCACGAGGTACGACCCTTCCCATGCGGCTGCCAGCTTGCCATGCCCTTCCTTTTGCTCAAAGTTCCTCTTCAGGACCATGTCACCTTCCTCCAATGGCCGGGGCTTCACCTTGGCGTTGTACGCCTTTGCTGTCTTCATCTTCTCCTCAAGAGTCCTGACTAGCGCGGTGTCTCTTCTTGTTTCCACCATGTCCAAATGATGAAGG